CCGCCCCCCCCGTCCTCCCGCCCGCCCCCCCCCCCCCCCCGCCACAAGAAAAACACCACCCCAAACGACACAAATTAGCAGCTCCAGGCCGCGCCGCGCAAAAACCGCAGCCCAAACGGGCCCTAAGTGATGTCAGGATCAGAAGTTAGCACTTCAAGGTTTAACTATTCCAACACCTCTTCTCTTATCATCTTCAGCATCTCCTACTTTTCTACAAGTATTTCATTGCAATACAATTGTTAGAAGGCTTAGGTTTCTAGAAGAAGCTTAGCAAGGGTGAAGTTTCTGTTGAAATAACCATTGATATGCATAGTTTTTGGCACAAAATTAAGGTTATATCTGAAACAGGTACCAACAAATTAAAAACTTTGTAGAATGAAAATAACCCAGTGAAAACTAAACATTGTTTGTGTAAACCATTCGCAAAAAAGACCAGGCCTTCAGAACAAGAAGCCCAGTTATGTGTAGCCTCTGGAAACAAAAAGCAAAACAATTCTTCTAAATTTACATATCTAACACCTAATCATTTATATTTACATACCTATCACTCAAATCTTTGACATGTATATTTACATGCTATCACTAACTTTTTAAAAGTGAAATAGACCTTTCATTCATAAGTTTTCAATACCAAGGTATTATAAAGAAAACTTTAGCTGCTAGACATGTAAATGCATAAGAATTAAGAACGGCCTGGTATGTATGTAAATTTCCCAATCATCTTATACATACAAAACGAAAGCTTTTTAAGGTCAAGGTACAAATAGCGCTGCCAAATAGGTGAGCCCTCTAAAGTCAATATTACAAAAATACTTTCTAGTTGATTTCTGGCATTGGCTTCACTGATAATCCGTAAAACCTTCAGAAACACTAGTTTAGCAGAAATCCACCTGGCCAAATACCCAAATGCTTTCAACAAGTTCATCTCATCAGTTCAGTAATCCATGATTTTCGCGAGAAAGAATCCAATTAACAAAATTCTCTATCGGCTAGTCAGAAAAAACTACTACAAACAGTCCAAGATGCCCATAATCACAAATCTGGAAGGAAGTGTTTTAAATAACATGATACCTTCCTCATCCGGGTCTTCATCTCAGACTTTTTAGCCTTGTTATAGATGCGCCTCTTCTCAGCCTGCCGAGCCCTCTTCGAGGCTGAATCAGCCTTCTTCTTCGAGGCCACCTCGCAGACAACTGACCTCCGCAATGGCTTCGGCTTCTCCAATGCCCTAATTGGAGCTCCTCCTGCAAAAGAACAATCTGTTTGTGAGCGAGCGCAAAGAGGATAAGACATATTAGATTGTTACCATTGGGAAAAGCAATCGAGGTAAGACTACAAAGAATTCTCATTTTATAAGATCAATTGTGATGACCATGTACACTTTTCTCATTTTGCAATAAATTAATGTAAAGCATTGTTAATTCAATTTTTTTAATTTAAAATTAATTTTAATTTTTATGATTGATATTCTATTTATATGAGGACATTGTTCGTATATCTAGTTTAGGGACCTATTTTTAATAGAATAGGACGGCTTCAGTTAAGTTTTCGTGCTGTCATATGAAATTATAAGTCGGCCCAATTAAGGGTGTGTTTAGGGCGGCAGTGTCACATACACATAGATTTTTGAGTTTGACAAAACTATATTTTGTTTGTTTTTTTTCAAAATGTTGCACGTGAAAATTGCATTTTGCAACCAAACTTAGCTAAAAAGATGCGCTCTAACTTTTTAATTTTTGTTTTTTTTAATAACCACCGTAATTTTTTGAATAAACAGTATTACGACTGCTTCTTCAAACAACTACCTCAAATCATAAAGCATTTACTTTCATTTTTTAAAATAGTTTTGATTTTGGTGATCACATATGGAGTATAATTCTATGTATATATTTTAGATTTAGTGTTTCGACAAGTATAATATTTTTTTTTTGGGTGCACTTACCTACGTATCATTCAATTCCTATTTATTGTCATATGTGACACCCCTATGTTTAACTTCTTACATTTATACCACCCAAATATATTATATGACATAAGAAATACCACTATGTTTACTTTTAAAACGTAAAGTATAAATTTCTAAGCACATAAGATAGCATATATGTAGTTGATGTTTAGGTGTCAGGTATGTAAACAGACTAGAAAACGGCTTGTGCTTGAGAACAACTTATAACTTAAATATTTATTTGCGGTTCATTTACATATAAATGATGAGATTAAAATTGTAAATTGAAACTTATAGAACTCATAAAGATGTGATTTGGTGATTTTCTTATAACAATTATTTGCATTGCACCACATATAAATCACTTTTTGAAGGCATCCATAAAATGAACTTGTAGACGTTGTATGTCTCATTGATTTAACTAAGGCTTCATTTGAGGACGCAGCGAGCTTTCGTTCGATTCGGTTGGAGCGAATGTCAACCTCTGTAAAAATTTGGTTCAAAATCCTGGGAGACCAACATCTCTGTAAGTTTTTTTCACAAGAACCGTGAATTTTTGTCGTTTCATATTACAGCTAGTTTTTGGAGGATCGACCTAACTTTTAAAAAAAATTGAAATATATTTAAATATAAAAAAAACAAATTTTAATTGATATACAACCAATATCTTAAATTAATGATTGAATCAAATTTATCAAATATAATTGATTTAATTTAAATTTTCAATTTTATCAAAAAGAAGTGAGCATTTATATTATAAAAATAAGGATTTTTAAAATTATGCATTAAATGAGGGGTATGTTTTTATAATTTAACTTGACCGAGCAAAAGGAATAACTAATTTGTAAAACTATAACTTTGAATAAAATTGCATTTTGAATGTGGAAAATATTTACCAACTGTACTTTTCCTTTGGAGGGACTTGGCGACGGGGGAATACAACTATCCAAAACTCAACGTGGACAAATCAGTGCAAAAAAATTGAGGAAGACTGAGGACCACTTAATTTCAAAGTATTTATATATCTAATTAAACTTTAGTAGACACGCACACGCACGTGTGCAATTGGTGGTCTGTTGTTTGACCGTTTTGTTATAAGTCTCATGGATCTCGAGTTCGATTCTATCTGACTCGAATTAGCACATATGCGACAGGCAGACATATGTTGTCTTATATATATATATCAATGTATTTCACTATTTCTAATTAAAATAACAGTATTTTTTTATGTTATATGAAAATTTTGGGTGATATAATTGTAGAAGGTAAAGTTTAACGGTAAGACATGTAAATACATAAGAATTACTTGATCCGTATGTAAATGACCAAAAATAAAGTAAAATTAAGGGAAATTTACCTGCATAGCACATGATTTTTATGCATTTCATATCTCACACAAACTTTCACATTTATATTTGTAATACTTAGGTGCTTTAAAACTATGCTTGAACTAACTACATGAAACTCATTGATTATCGGCTGACAAATTAGTCGATCATCAGGCCCTTTTCAGTCGATAAGCTAGATTTTCGACCGAATCGTGGCTAAAATTTGTCAACCGGAAAATGACTTCCAGAAAAATGCATCGTCGGTTGAATTGTTTAGCCGTTAAATGTTTCCGATTGATTAGACATTAAATTATTAGTGAATGATAACTCAATAGTTAAATTTATCGGATGATAAACAGTTAATTATCTCGTCATCTTTTGACTCGTTTAATTGTCAGTATATAATAAGTTATCGGCTGAAAAATTAGTCAATTATCAGCTTGAAACTCGTGCCAAAACATAATAAATAAATAAATAAATATGAGCCCTAGCCAAAATAAATTACACATTTGCAATCATAAAACAAAAAAAAAAAACTATCACATATTTCATAACATATCATAACAGCATAAAAGGTTAAATAGAAACAACAACATTAATGAAATCACAACAAATATAACAATAAATCTCAGCAAATCATTCAATACAGTGGTGTTCGGAAATTAAATGAAAGATGTTAACATGAAGCACTACACACAGATAGAAGAAAAAATCTCGATCATCATGGTGGTCCTCCTTCACCTCCTCGACCAAAGTTCGCTTGCCACGGCGACGTGTTTGGTGTTTCAACTGCTCGATAGTTGCCCTGACATCCCTGGCTTGCTATGTTGCCTTTATCACGGACTTTATTTCACATAGCTCAGTAGCAAAGCTAACTTGTAACTGCTAGGAGAGTGCAACCACACATTTGGAGACTTCATCATCAACCAACGACGTCTCGCCTAAACCAAAGTATTTTGCCTTAAAGACAAATCCTTATGTGGCGAGGCCGTAGTCCCTCCCCTTATTTCTTCCCCCGACAACATGTTTCTATATCTCAAAGACTGGAGGATGATCAAATTGATCACTAGAGCTACAAGTTCCTCTGGGCTCTAATTCCGAGCATCCTTCAGGCACAAATACTCTTCCTATATAAGATTTTAAAGGGTAAGTAACATCAAAATAAAATTGTTTATAAATTTCATAAAAAAAAAAAAATCACCTTATGCTGACACACTAAAATATATCGTCGACCCACTATTAATTCGCCTAATGTTGATGTGTGTGGTGTGCAACTCAGACGTGGTGGGCTCCCGTTTAAGCAATTGCCTAACATATAAAATGTTTATAAAAAATAATTACATATATCAATGTAGCACATAAGTTAAATTTTATCATCCTCCTATAATCAGTATGAGACATCGATCCTCCAGCGTATAAGAAGGTACCCATGCCCCCATAGTCAGAGGTTTGGTTCTGCTGCTTCATCAACATCTTCCTAAGAAAAGGCCCAAGCTCTAACATCCTCTCATATCTAGAGGGCCTCTGTTCCTTCTTTCAAATATCAATAAACATGTTACATAAGCGTGTCTACCCTCACATCTCGAAGTTCTTGTAGATCTAATGATCATCTCACAGAAGTGATACAAAATAAATATCAAATAATGTCAGTTATTATAAAATATAACTTAAGATTATAATATAATTCAAAATTATTTAATTTTAATTCAAATTCCGTGACATGCATCTCAAACCTCGATTGGGATTGTCTTTCATGTTAAATATGGAGCATCTTACCTACTCTTGTTAAACTCCTTGTTCCTGTGGATGGCTGCCATGATGTATGAAACCTTTAAAAAAAAAAAATATTAGCTATATAATATAATAAAAAACTAATTTCAAATATATTAATTTAAATAACATACGAATTTCCATCTGGCTCGATTTATAACCATTCTGAGTTATCCACATCAAGGTGCTCGATAGGAGTAGAGGGCCCTACCTCAAAGGAGGGTAGGGGTGGCAGTGCGACGGGAGTTGTAAGGGCATTAAACGACTTTGTAACTAATTGTGGAGCAACAGACCTGACAGACACCTCTATGGTGGTCTTATTGGTAACTATCATATTGGTGACTGTCATGTCATTCTCGTAAAAAATAAAATAAAATTAAAAATAGAAAATAATTGATGTTAAAGCAAGAAATAATAAAAATGTAAGCAAAAAATAACAAATGTAAAAGCAGAAACAACATAAATGAATGCAACATAAGTAATAGTAGGATATAACTAAAGTAAATATAGGAAACAATTGAAGTAAAAGTAGTAAACATGTAAAGTAAATGTCGAAAAGATTAGAATAAATATTTGATGTGCACTGAAATTCTATTAAGCACAGTTTATAAGCGTAAGTGTACGTCCAAGTAGCACATGAAGCTGATTCTTTGTATCGATCCCACGAGCAACAAGTAAAATTCTGAAATAAAAAAAAAAAAGTTCCAGTTTACAAGTTGTAAGTCTAACTTGGCATGTTCGAGGTTTAATGAATTTTTGAAATCCTCTAAATCTAATTTTTGCAAAATCTAAATCCTAAAAGATTAATGTGAGAGGTTCTATCAAGTGAAGGTTTCTCTCCTATTTTAGATTCTAGAAACCTAAGGTTATTCATGTGACAAGGTTAATGGTGATGACCATAAACATACATTTTCCTTAGCCTGTGGTAAAAAAGTTCGAAAATTTGAATCAAAATTATGCAAATTTTCCCAGAATCTCATATTTTCTTTGACGAACGCACTATACTAGAAGCAATATTTTTATTCCCCTAAGTTAATGTGTGTTAATCTAGTTGTTCCACTATGTTTCCTTCTGAAATCCAAAGTTCGCAACAAATTTTAAAAAAACAACTGGCCAAATTGAGTGAAAATTAAGTATGACTTCTAATCACAAGAACAGAGGAGAAAATATGAGTTAGTTACTACATATGCTTTGAAATAGCAAGTTCCAAATTATATTAATCAAAACAAAATAAAGTTGTCATTAGTAGGGGGCGACTAATGACAACTGGGAAGTGGTGGTCGACGGTAGTCGGCGACTGTAGGAA